ATTCACGGTTTGCCTTCCGGGTCCATCGTGTAGAGAAACTCCGTGCCGTGTGACCCGGGTGTAGGTTTAAGGGACGGTTTACGTAAGTATAATACAAAATAAATACTCACCTTCTATTTAAAGGTATATTCTGAAATTACGTGCAGATACACAGGTTAGTAATTTAAAAATATTACCAGTTAATTTTCTTCGTCCTTACGCCCAGGCATAGATACACACCAATATATTTTAATACACAGGATTTTAGGTAAAATACACGGTTATCTTCTAAATATATATAACTCAAAGGTGACTGACGTAGTGATTTATCAACGCACAACCCAAACCACTGGACGGATCGGGCTGAAATTTGGCATGCAGGTAGATGTTATGACGTAGGCATCCGCTAAGAAAGGAATTTTATAAATTCTACCCCCAAGGTGATAAAATAGGGGATGAAAGTTGGTATGAAACTTTGTCAATTTTAAACCGATCGGGCTGAGACTTTGCATGCATAAAGCTACTATGACGTAGGCATCCCCTAAGGAAGGATTTTGATAAATTCCACCCCTAAGGGGATAAAACAGGGGATGAAAGATTTTCGATAGATTTTCGACTGATTGAATTGAAATTAAAGATTGGAGCTACTATGATGAAGATGTTTGCTTAAATAGGATTTTGATAAATTCAACCCCCATGGGGATAAAATAACTATGATGGAGGATGTAAATGTATTAGTTTGAACCTATCAGGATAATTTTTAGTCCTTTAGGCTACTTTTATTTTAGAAAAACAAATTTAAATAAATACCACGCAGACGAAGTCGCGGGAACAGCTAATGTTTCTTTAACTATCATAGTTCAAACACAAAAAAAAAACAAAAATTACCTACTTTATCAGATAGTAGGTTTAATAGTATTAGGCACATTGATTGAAGTAGAAAAAGTATAATCCATCACATTTAAAATAAGTATTGTTGCTAAGTAACAGTTTGTATGTAACGTGCAACTGCAATCGGAACGAAGTAAATTATATTTACAACTGTATACGTAATCCACTGAATATCTCTATCAAATAGTACTATATTTCAAGTGTGTTTGAGCCTTAAAAGGTTCAATTTTATCCAGTTACCGCCGGTTTCAACGCCAAGGTCAAAGGACGAATGTATTTACTTTCACGGATTTTTATATTTGAGGCAAAGGAATTTCAACACTCGTACGTGTCACGCTCGCGTCTATTGAAATTATAACTATTTTGCACTATCGTTTCCCGCCTATAATCCTTACTCTGTAACCTTTCATTACTCTGTGAAATTCAAACTGTGTAATACTGTATTGTTATGTGACATTACGTTATCTGTGGTATTACTATAACAATGGACAATAATTAATCGTGGACACAAAAATAAACAAACATTTATACTATGATGGTGGAAAGTTGGTACTGGAAAATTTACTTCCTACCACAGATAAGATATTACAAACGCGACAGTTTGTGTGTATGGATGAATACATAGATGGATGGACAGATGTTATTTACTCTTTCACGCAAAAACTACTAAAGGGATTTTTATAAAACTGTACAGTAATATAGCTACATAAGAATAACACATAGGCTATAGATTTCATGCGAATGAATCCGTGGGCGAAGCTAGTGTTACATAAAACCCATGAAATATGACCAGATGTACGATCAAACGACCATTACCTTCTCCATATTTAAAAAAAGAGTGGGCCATATTTGAAAAAAAAAACAAATAAATTGAATTTACAAAAAAAAAATTGTTCCAATAAATGATTAAAATGTATTTCTAATACACTCCACTATTATACCTAACGAGACAAAATTCCAATATTTTGTTATTAGGAAACTAAACTCCCGCCATCGCTAGCGCAGGCGGGTGCACCATTCCATTATCGTCCATAAAAAAAATATGGACCCCCACGTGGTATCCTCTGAAAATCATCCTATCGTAGTGAATTACATAGAAATTATTGAATTAGAATAATGGTTATTTCTATTAATAATCCTAGGTATTATACTATTAGTCCTTTATTCATATAGTAATTAACAGTACATTAAAACAACTGAACATATTTTTCAGACCAGAAGAACAGAATAACTTTCAATACACAGAATAAAATCACAGTATAATATGTTACAGTTGTACACAATGTTACCATTCTAAAATAAAATGGATTGATATTTTAATAGTAAGAAAACAAATAAAGAAATTGTACAACGAGAAAAAAATAAATTAAAGAACGATAAAATAAAATTCCTTTTGAATTGCGGAACCACAGAGCAATCAAAGTTTCCTACAACGGTCTCTGAATTATTGGAAAGTCAAATGATTTATTTTATTAGAAATCACGTCGCGATTAAGAAACTTTTAACCGCCAAAGTTATTAAGTCATTTCTGGTGTCACGGTCGCGACTCAGCGACTTCATTACAATGGTTTTAAGCTATATTAAAAATGGCAGCTGGCGTTTTCGCCCTGACATTATTGTTTTTATGACGATTCAAATATATAATTGACCAGTATCTAAAGCCTACGGTGGTATAGTTTACATACTGCTTCACTAATTGTCGCTGGTTTCATCTACATCAGTTACAACAAACATTTATTAGACTTTTGCTTTCGACAAAATTGCAACAGTATATGCTAGTGGTCACTCTATTCTCCCAAATTTGAATTTTAATGACTGTATATTATTGTAAACATGTTCCACTATTATTTGAATTGAATACGAGCTGAGTTTTTTGTCAGTTCTTCTCAGCTCGAAATTATTCCGAACTGATGGTAGATTTGACATATCATAAGAGTCTGTAATAGACCTACATGAATAAAGATATTATGATTTTGATGATTTGTATTCAGAATATGATTGATTGTATTGTTCTAGCTATTTTCTATGTATACTTCTAGGTACATAGAACATACTAGCTGACCCGCACAGCTTCGTCTGCACCACATCTATATTACGTATCCGTCAAGCAAGAGTTGGCCTTCAGCCGCTCCATAAGTCCCTCCTTTGGTTTGGAGTGCCATCTGCACTCGCCTATCGTCCGGTGAAGCTGTAAAGGTCAGCTGCGGCCAACAGCATTAGAGTAGTCTGAAAAAAAACTTATATTATTATATTTCGCTAAATGTAAATAAATTATTTTTAAACTATCTATATGTATGTTAAATAGACTAAAACTAGTCTTAGTTTTCTGATTCTGATGTATAAGCTATATTACTGTAAACTTTCATCAAAATCCGTTCAGTAGTTTTTGCGTGAAAGACTAACAAACATCCATCTATACTCACAAACTATCATGTTTATAATATTATTAAGATTTAAGTATATTTCAATGTATTCCAGCATAGTACAAAATTTGCTTAGTTTGGGACTAGGTTTCGCTGTGTGAATTGTCCTGGATCATGAGTTCCTATTATAGTACGCATTTATTAGTATTTAGTGTCTAGAATTGAAAAATAATATTATTTGTATAACTTATATAATGTCCAAGTACTTATTTGGCAAGGATTTCGCACGATGACGACCGATTCAACCTTGCTTCTGCCCCTGCATCAAATCAAAAAGAAAGGGACAAATTGGAGGTTATTGAAATGTGGTGTTGGGGAAGGATGGAAAGAATTAGCTGAAAGGAAAAAGTAAAAAACGAAGAAGTACTACACAGGGTAAAAGAAAGAAGGCAATTATTGAACACAATAGAAAATAGACGAGGAAAAATGTTGGGAAACTTGATAAGGCACGATGATTTCATGAAAATTATTATTGAGGGAAAAATAGAAGGAAAGCACAGCTACATCAAATAAATTGAGGAGAAGATGGGAGTCATGTCGTATCAAGTATTAAAGGGCATGATGGAACATTGCGTAGCTACACTGACAAGAGCGTAGCTCTTAAATGATAAATGAATGAACCTATATAAAATTATAATAGATATCTTCTATAGAGAGGTTAACAGATTGAGCTGGTATGCGCATGTTATACGGAGGAACGAGGATCATGTCTTATGGAAAGTGTACAATATGAACGTGGATGGATGGAAAGGGAGAGGACGCCCTAAAAAATATGGGTGGATTGTGTGAGAGATGATATGAATAAAAGGGGAGTATGCTCAGATATGGCGACCGACAGAGAGCAGTGGAAGAACATACTGCGCCGACCCCAAATAATGGTATAAGGGCAAGGCAATGATGATAATCTTCTATAGAGAGGTATGTTATAAGTATAATTATTTACACAAATTATTTTGTCCACTACGAGTTCTCCATTCATTTTATTAGGTGTATAAAATATAAGATTCCTATAGCCTACTAAACTACATCAGACTTTTGTATTAATTCAAATTAAATAACTCTGTTATGAATAATTCTAAAAGTTATCGTGTTTGTTCGAGGGACACTTTTCAGACAGATTAGATTATTTCAAACCTTGTGATGTATTAGGGAAAACTTTTGGGAAGTGTTTAAAAATCAATAAATATCGTCTACGTGTCATACAAAATAGAAATAGAAATAAACTCATTACAAGCAATTTTGAATAGTCATATTTTTGATTCTACCACTCATTCGGAATGCAGATTCATCACAAGAATAATGTGCACAAGAATAATAAAAACTTGTGGGTTGCTCTTTTGAATACTTCTTTTTTTTATATAAATAATTACAGTATAACAAGAGGCATGCGATAATCAACACAGTGATATCAAAATTGTGCTGATCCTAGCAACGCTAGCGTAGTATAAAAAATAATTATTTGTTTTATTTTCTAAACCATCTTTTTATTTAGAGTTTTATACAGATTTCTTTCTTTAATATTTTATTCGTATCTAATTTTACGTAGAATGGAACGCAACTATTCCAAGTGAAACATAAAGTCACAGTGTTACATTGACGTATGTACTGTCAGTCAAGACGAAGTCAATCAATATCACTGACATCGAATAACATTTATTTATGATAGTTTTTCTGTTGTCATGTTTTTAAAGTTATAAATTGTAAAAAATATAAATAAAGCTTAATTTAAAAAAATGGAGAACTATGAAAACGCTTATAAAGATATTTGCAGAGTTTGTCTATTGCATAAAGATGGTGAAAAGTTTGTTCCTCTTATTGACAAGACTAGTGCCGACGGCTTAAGTTGTTTTGGTAAAGCTGTACTCAATTTTGCCAATATTTCGCTTAAAAAGGATGATATATTACCCAGTTTTATGTGCCAAAAATGTTTATTATTACTCAAACACGCTATTTACTTCAAACTGAAGTGTGAATCTAGTCAGAAACGTCTCTCGGTACTGACGAACAAAACTGTAAACAGTGATTTTAGTGATGACAATTTTAAAGAAATTATCGTGGAATACTCAATGTTTAATCAATATTTTTCGTCTGAGGATACAGAAGAATTTTCTAGAAGTAACTGCAGTGGAAACAGCGAGGAGAATTCTGTAATTGATTCGTATCCTAATATAAATGATCATTGCAATTCGAATGACGATAATGATTTTGTTAATGAAGAAGAAGACAGTGGTGAAGACTTATTGGACGAATTAGACAAATTATCGGATAAATTCTCGAGTTATAACAACGTATATTATGAAAGTCACATGAAAAAGAAGTTGTTTAAACGTAAGAAAGCAGATCAGCTGCATTTAGCTCGGAGACGTATGCAAGGTAGAAAAAGAATAAACAAGAAGATACCAAATCTAACTGAAAAGATAGTATGCAAGATTTGTGATAAAATATTAGCCAACCAGCGTACCTATGATCATCATATGCAACGGCATAACGGATATAAGTACATGTGTGAGCATTGCGGAAAAGGTTTTCCTGTTCTCGTCGAGTTACAGATGCATCAGGTCGCTCGGCACGATACAGGTCCCTTTCTGCAGTGTCAACATTGTGCTTACAAAGCTCCGAGGAAACTGAATTTAATAGAACACATAAGATTGCATACTGGAGAACGCCCATACACATGTGACAAATGTGGTCTTACATTCCGCAGACGAGCTCTATGGAGGAAGCACATGGTCTACCATACAGAGAAGACGGTACAATGTGTACAGTGTCCTAAAAAGTTTTTCCGTCGCGGCGAAATGTTGGCACACGTAAACAGCATGCATGAACGGATGTATATGTATTTATGTCACAAATGTGACGCAACTTATGCGAAGCCTGTCACAGTGAGACGTCATCTGACCGAGCGGCATGGTATACCCAGAGAAATGCAGGGGAAAATTATAAGAATTAATAAAGGGAGGACTATTTTATCTGAACAATAATGAAGGTATTTAAGGTATTCGAACAAGTGTGTAGTAGTGTAAGGTATTTGAGCAAGTGTGTTGGGGTGATGAATGAATAAATTCATCACCACAACAAACTTGCTCGACAACTCACCATAGAACAGCATGTGAGACTAAAACGCCATATCCTGGAGCTAGAAGATCAGCAGTAGCTCTGGGATGCAGTTGAGCAACATGACAGCATCACAGAACATATTTGCTTATAGTCCTGGGACTGAAAGCAAATGTAATCGGAGAAAAAAAAATTGAAGGTTGATTTTCTACAAAGTTGTCTATTTAAATTTAAATATTTAAACTGCCTTTATTTTTAATTATCATTGATTTTGACCTGTGATTTCACCAACATCATGGTTTAAAAGACAGTGGGATATTGTACCTGTGGCTGTTTTTAAACATGCTCAATAATGTTTGACAATTTTATTAGTTTGAGATTTGTATTATCCCTTGAGATTGTTATATTATAAAGACATCACAACACCTGATGTATAACAAACAATTTATACTATCATTGGTTTGAGTATGAGAATCTCAGTTTTTTATTTTTGGTTCGGTTTTTCTCTTTTTAGGGAAAGGCAAAAGGACTCAGCCCATACAGCCATTGTCTTCAGTACTAATTTCTTATATTTTTTTTTTCTAATGATTGAGAATCTCAGTATAATTATGGATTGACATCTTAATTCCCTGTATTGGCAAGGCTTAAGGGGGAACATAATCATCACATGAATATCTGTGATGCTGTATGTATATATATATTATTTATTCAAAAACAATGTTGAAGGTTTATGTTATTGTTATTTTTTTTTAACTAAATCTATGTGGTTTTTGTTTCTAAACTTGTCAACCCCATTATTACAAACTAATTATTATAATTCATATTATTGTTTGCAATAACATAATTATTTGTTATTATTTCCAAATAAAATGTTATGTTATTACTGTGTGCTAAAAATTAGGAAAGCTTTATGCACACATAGGGCTGTCTATCACATATTTTGTATATTCAAGTATATAAATATAAAATATTATAAAATATGGTTATCTGCCAATAATTGCATAAACATATTTATAATGAATAAATGAGTGATAACTTATTACAATCTGTATGTAATTAAGTATGGTACATATATAAAGCTTGTCCAAGCTCAAAAAGCTTAAAGAAGCTTCATATATATACCTAATATGCGTTGATTACCAAGTTACCACCATTAAAATGTCTATTCTGCAAGAGTTAACAGTTGTCAGTATATCATGACGGTTAAATTGTTACTAGTTTCTATATAAAACAATTAAAATATAGAAATTGAAACGACTGAATGAAATAATTGTTTATACTATTAAATAAAGTATTAGTACTCAATACTAAGTATTTTATTGCATTTATTTATTTTATTTAAAACTTTATTGATTTTGTACAATAGGCGGGCATGGTCAATGTACTCCACTTAATAAAGTATGTGATATAATTTCGGATGTTCTAATTTTAAATATTATGGTATTCATAATTCAAATTTAGAACTCCATTGTAAATACGAGTGCTTAATTGCGCATCGCCAGCTAAAGTTGATTCATCACACTTTACAGTTTCCAATAATTTCGTTGTAAGTAAACGACTGGCTGGATGGGAATTTGAATATAGAACAGAATTGAATAGAAATTACTTATTGGCTATCTATATATTATTGGTAAATGTACTCCACTTAATAAAATTTGTATAATGAAACGCTAGTACTATAAAAATTACACGTTCGAAATACAAAAAATACCTAATTCTTTTAAATTAAAAACTTAACAACTCTCAAACATTTTTCTCGCATGAAACTCACTACTTCCTTGCTCACTTTAGTGCATTTAAGCGGATGTTCTAAATTTGAATATTATGGTATTCGTAATTTAAATTTTGAACTGCATTGTAAGTACGGGTGCTCAATTGCGCATCACTAGGTAAAGTTGATTCAGCACACTTTACAGTTTCCATTAATTTTACTGTGAGTAAACGACTGGCTGGATGAAAATTTGAATATAGAATGGAATTGAATAGATATATTGGTTATACATTATTCTTTATCAGTATAGAGGTTTAATTCGTAGTATAAATAAATATAGTGAACTAACAAAATAAATGTAAAATCTTTACTAATAATATAAATGCGGAAGGAACTCTGTCTGTCTGTCTCCCTTTGTCTGTCGCGCTTTTACGCCAAAACTACTCAACCGATATAAATGAGATTTGGTACACAGATGGTCTAGACCAGAGGTTCCCAAACTTTTTTGTGTCGAAACCGAAAAATATATCAAAGGGTCGACCCTTGCCATATTTTTCGGTTTTGAGTAGACCCCCTTTCTACCCCCCTTCTTACCTGGTATTGATTTTTTGTAAATTTCTAACTATAGTAAAGTTTAGTGTCAAAAACATAAAGTAAAAACAACAAGATGACCGCTGTCGTAGACCCCTTGCAGTTTGTAATAGACCCCTGGGGGTCGATATAGACCACTGTGGCAATCACTGGTCTAGACCCTGGGAAAGGACATAGGGTACTTTTTACTTCGAAAAAAGGGTTGTAAGGGTTGGAAAGTTATATGGAAGTACAGTCATTATCAAAGCTTGAAGCTGGGAACCTATAAGCTACTGATTAACTATAAATACATATGACATACAAAGTTTGTACCACCTACCCCTTTCTTATCTTAATGTTACTTTCTGTACTGGTAGTCTGGAACAGATTGCTTAGCGATAAGACCGCCTTTTGTATCAGTTTATGTATTATATCATTTTGTGTGTTTTCTTTGTCTGGTGCAATAAAGAGTTTAAATAAAAAATAAAATAAATAAATTAAAAAAACTCTTAAGGGGTAAATTAAAAAAGGGGATGTAAATGATGAAGTTTGTCATTTTTAAAGCTAGGATGATGAAACTTTCAGTTCAATTCAGAGAAATCTCAGCCTATCAGTTGTCTAATACCTATAACACAAGGTCTATTATGTGAATTGTCCGGGAATATTAATATTATAATTATATTAATAATCGACGACCTCGGTGGTCTAGCGATCTAGCACTCTGCTTTACGACCGATGGTCGCGGGTTCGATTCCTCGCACGTCACAAACATTTGTATTCATGAGTATGATTGTTTGTATCGGTCTGGGTGTTTTCTATGTATAATATGTTTGTATTTACGAAAAATAGATCTATGTACTTGTATCAGTTATCTAGTACCCGTAACACAAGGTTTAGCTAGCTTAACTCGGGACTAGATGGCGCTGTGTGAATTGTCCTGAGATTATTATTATTATTATTTTAACCAGATATTCGGGTCCACAAGCCACATCAAAAGCACATCTGTTCACCGTGTTCTCCATCTAAACTCGATCATAGTAAACATAAACAAGTACCATTGTAGTAAAAAGACAACTGAACGTAAACAATCCTAAAATCATATTCAATGCTTTGAAACGGCCGAAATGTAATTCAATTACCCTCAAACTACATATAACGCTAAACATATCAAACAAGTAAAGCCCTCCAGCACTGAAGATTGAGGTTGGCACTGACGATGTCTACAAACGGAACCGACTAGCTGTTCCAGCGACTTCCGCGTGGTTTAACTTTATTTTTCTAAAATAAAAGTAGCCTAAGTTACTCCTTATTAGATCAGCCAAAAAAAAGTCCCATCAAAATGGGTCCAGCCATTTCCGAGATCAGCCGGAACAAACAGACAGACATACAGACAAAAAATGTTATTTTGGTTTATGTACTGTATTTATTTTCATATGCATGTAGTAAAAAACTGTTATTTCAATATTACAAACAGACACTCCAATTTTATTTATATGTATAGATGTATAGATAATGGAATGCGTAGGAATGAAGATCATATCCTAAGGACGGTGTTACATATGAATGTGGATGGTTATAAGGGAAGAGGAAGACCGAAAAAGAGATGGATGGACTGTATGAAAGATGAAATGGTGAGAAAGGAAGTAAATAACGGAATGACTGCGAACAGAGATGAATGGAAGAGAAAAACATATTACGCCGACCCCAAATAAATGGGATAAGGAAGAAGCAGATGATGAGATGTATAGATAATAGTGTACCCGTCGAGTTAACGGTTTACGCTGGTGTGGCACTAGTGGAGGATGATAAGATGAGCATGAGGTCAGGTCAGTTAGCCCATCGTGACAAATGCAACATGAATTTATTACGACGGTTTCCAGGGGGAATCGCGTGGAGGTCAACCTGACGTGGTACATTGCTAGGGATAAAGTCATCAGTCCACATTACTAACAATCTCCTTTCTCCTGTATTGTAACTCTTGAGCGAGTCTGAGTATATCTTATATATAAAATTCTCGTGTCACAGTTTTCGTTCCCATACTCCTCCGAAACGGCTTGACCGATTCTCATGAAATTTTGTGAGCGTATTGAGTAGGTCTGAGAATCGGCCAACATCTATTTTTCATCTCCCTAAATGTTAGGGGTAGTCTACACCTAATTTTTTTATTTATTTTTTAGACAAAATTTTTAGTTTCTTCTTTTTTATGATACAACATACAATCGTAAATTTTTACCCTTCTATCATCAACCCCTGTTTTTTTATAGCGTTATTAATTTATATGGCAAAACAACGTTTGCCGGGACAGCTAGTATCAAATAAATTATTATTGGCCCCTACCCACTACCATAATAGAATCGTCCCTATGCTTGTACGTAGAGTTACAACTTTCTATATATCTAGCAGTAAACACAAAGACAGCAAATAACGACCAACAAAAGTGTTACCATTACACGTTATGAAATCAAGCACATTATTGCCATATTCTGTTATATTTATCCTTTTTAAAAATGAATATTGACATGTGTGTATTGTCAGTGCCGTGCATTAGAACAGTACCGTACCGTACCGTACCGTACCGTACGTAACCACAACAACCGGAATACTTGGCGTTGCATACACGAGGGCCGCTTGTTATCTATTTACTTGGCCCTACTCACTACCATAATAGAATCGTCCACTGTACTTGTTTACGCTCTCAT